TAATTGCATGACTGTACTTATTTTTGTTTACAGATATCTGTCACAAGAGGAATTCAAATTTCCAAATGTAATTAAAATTTCCCAAGGCATTCGATATACAATGGTTTACATGAAGAGAGAGGTTAGAAAAAAAAGGCTATAACAGCATAGTTAAGGAAAACTTGGGAGTCCTCCCAAGATTGATGAAATGGCAACATGAAAACTGGCCAAGAAGTCTCTAAAGATGCCTTTGGTAACATTATATAAAAAGAAAAAAGAAAAGAAAAAAGAACCTATTGTTTATTGCTGGCTGTATAGTACAGTATAACAACAGCTTTTACAGCAACATCATGTTTCTGGGTAGTGGAATAGGGAAGCATCTTCATCCAAAAGCAAAGAATTTTACCAAATTTGGTTAAATTTTCTAACATCAGATTTTACATTTTCAGAAAAGTAGCGGCTGAAATGCTTCAAGGTCTGACGCAGCAAAATTTGATGGACATAAAAAAACAAAACAAAAAAAACAACACAATAAAAGAACCTCACCTCCACAGTAAAGCACGGTGGTGGCGCCATTTTTGTGTGTGCTGTTTTTCATTTTTAGATAGAACTAGGACCTGAGTAAAATTATAGGGAATCATAATAAGTCAGATTCACTAAGTAACGTATAGTTAAGAAAAGATTTTAACAGTAAATCTTCGTTCTAGTTTTAATGAATCATATTTTAGAAATATTGTTATGAAGTATTGCTACTCCTATTTGGGTAGAATTACTGGCTACTCTGCCCACTGTGAGTAACTTGAGCTATTTGTAGATCAGATGAAAATACAGTCAAAACGATATCAATAGAAGTTGTGGAATTTGTCATTTGTATCTATGTTTTTTAATCTGAATTTTCATGTGTTTCAATCTTTAAAATATCAAAACTTGCACATAAAGTCTGAATAATTTCTAAACATCCAGATGTTATCAGCTGAGTAATGGTTCCCAGTACTTGAATAGAGTATTTACCTAATTGCTGTTTTTACACTTTACTTGCATAATTTTTTGTATGGGTACTTTTAACTTATACTTGAGTTAAAAAAAATGACAAATTAGTGCTACTCTTACTTAAGTCCACCCTGTCCACTTCTGCTCCTTCTTGCCATCAGGTAAACCTGGAAATCTAACATGGTTGTGTTATTGTTTAGAATCCATAAATGAAAGGAGGTCATTAAAAAAAAAAGAAAAAAAAGAAAAATCAAGTATTTTTTAAATTTTCCCCCCAAAAATGATCTAATTAAATCCAAATAAATTAGTTTGGTACTTTACATATCAGTATTCAATAGCTTTGAAGAAAGGAGCCTCAAAACAGCAAAACAAATGTATTAAAATGTAATATTAATTGTTGGATACAGGTTTCTGTGTGATTTATACAGACTATTAGGGTGAAAAATAAGAAAATAATGACATGTCTGCGTGTTAATATGCCCTGGAAATAAGAGTAATAGTGTGTCGCCTGGGAAAGCTGTTAGGCATAAATCTCTGAAAAAGAGCTCTTGAATTTATTACTCCAGCATGAAGCAGAAAAAAATACAAGCATGTGCTTGCAGGAAACAGGTGAGGTTGGTGAGATTCAAGAAAAATCATGTTTTTCTTACTTATGAGAAAATGGCATCTTAAATGGCATTTCAATGCGGCAGACTGAACCAACGGATGAATTACTCTTTTTCTCATCTGAAGTTAAGTGTTTTCACAGCTCTGCAATAGAAAAGGCAAAGCGCTTAGTGAACATTTTAATCCACAGCAGAAAAAGGGCTTTCATGGTTTAACATGTTGTATATTTAATAACAGACTTCATCGAACAGCATCACTGCCAAACACATTATCTTAAAGGATAGACTCTGACATGGAAAACGTCAAACAGTATAGGTATTCAGAAGGTCTAAATTTACATGTAGCCACCATCAGATTAGGATTTTTTCACTTCGCTTGCTGTTTTCTTCCATTCAGGCCTCATGCTGTACTGAAACAAACAGAGACTGCAGTGTTTTGCTAACAGCCCTCATTGTACTGTGACTGGTGTGAACTGTGACAGGTGAGTGTTTTGAAAAATCAGTAGAAAAGAAGAAAAAAAAAAGAAAAGTTTAAGCAGCGAGGTTTTAAATTACACATTAGGGAACTCAGCAAGAGCCAGCTGCAGAAATAAAAATAGAAATTTGTTTTCTTAGCCGATTGAATGTTAGACATGGACGTGAAATGTGCCTCTTCTGTTTAGGAACAGAGATCCAGTTCAAAACCAAAAGGTTGGAGAAAGTCCTTATCATAGGATCTTAGAAATCTAAAACACAAATGTAACCTCTCTATGAAGGCAAAATTGAAAATTATATGCTTTAACCTTTCAAAAAATCTAAGGTGGAAATAACAATAAATTTTTCTTGTGGATGTTTTTGTGTTTTTTTTTTTTTTAAGCCGGCAGTAAGACAATAGCTCAGAAACCACCTATAAAGTAATCAGAAAACAATTTTGTAAAAGTACACACATTAAATAAAGCACAGATGGCAGGGGGCATTTCTTGTCTCATCAGCAGAGATCCCACCATTATTCATGTTTATTACTCAAGAAGTATAAATCCTGCTGTTCCAAAACACTTTTGTAGAAGTATCAATGTATGCTTTTACTCAAGTAAAAGTGTAAAAGTACCATTTTTATGACAACTTAAGTATACAGGTAAATGTAATGCAAGAAAAATAATATTTCTAATATTGCTGGATGATAACTTCCTTATATTTCATTTTGTTAGATTTATAACTAATGGTAACAGCATCAAATTTAATTTTGCATCCTCCTAAAAACTATTTATTTTGGGATGTCACAAATAACAAATTCCAGACAAAGAAATAGTCTGGATAAAACAAATGATTAGGATGGTTTTATTTTTTTTAAATATCAACAGGCCATAACAGAAAGGAACTTCAATAAACAAAACAAACAAGTCTATTTTTAAAAGGTAAGAAATAGAAAATAGAGATTGCAAAAAAAAAATATATATATATATATATAAGGACTAGATGTAAAAAGTTGTCTAAAAAATAATTACTCCAGTAAAGTATAGATAGCCAACAGTTTTACCTAAGTAACATGAATTATTACTTTGTTAACTCTTGACACCTCTGCTCATCAGTCACTAACTTACTGCATTTTAGACAAACCTGCTGTTTTTTTTCTTTTTTATTTGTGCTTTATAAATAAATGTAATTTACATTTGTACTTAAATAGAACACAAAAGCTGCAGCAAGCACCTTAAAATTTATTATTATTTCTATGGAAATGTGTCTGGCTTATTCAGGCCATTTCTAAAGAAAGTGACACTCGAGCAGGAAATTAAAAAACTAAACATATTTTACAGCAGTCTTTCTGAATCCAATCCTTTTTAGATTCCTTTTTATTTCTTATGGGAAAGAGCTGCTTGGTTTAGTAATTACAGAGGGAAGGTTAAAGGTCTACTAGCCCTGGATGAAATACCTGCCAACAATGTTAACAGTTATCAATGCTAACTCTGCAAATGGCTTTTATAAGACAATAAAACAGATAAAAATGAAATCTGTTCAATCTTTTTGTATTTGTTTAAAAAAAAAAACCCAGTTTTACTGCAGAGCTCCGACTGCTTGACTACACACAATGGTATGAATAATAGACCTTATATAAAAAGAAAACTTGTTAGAGCTACAATAAAGGGTTTTAATAAACTACCAAAGTTTTTCTTCTTCATTATTAAGTTAAACACCAATCTGTATATAGATTTAGATAAACTATTTCTTTAATCAATATAATGCCTTATTTAAGTTTTCTGTTTTCTGATAGGTAACTTTCTTACTGCTCTACTAGGTATTTGGAGATACAAAGACAAACAGCTCTTTTTCTAATTTATCTAGAAGATTTTATTGTAAGAAGATATAAAAATCTTAAGTTCCTTCTAGAAAATTTCAAATAACTTTAGTTCTAGCAGGCAGCATGCATCCTTCTTTCTAAATCAACTTTGGAATGAAGTCAACTGTATCCCCACCAATCGTACAATCATTCCCTCCCATATTAAAAAATGTCAACATATTTATGTGGCTTTGGTTTTTATTTCTACACCTTGCACTTTCTCAGCTACATACTTACATTTCCTTGTATTGCTGCAACAAAAGTGCAGGGATTTCACTTTCTGTATACCTCTAATAAACAGCATCAGACAGAAACATACTGAGTCTAAAACAACAGGTTAAGCTAATATAACACAAATACAAAGGTTGCACATTATTTTTAAATTACATTGTAACAGTACCCTAGGTTTAGAACAGCATAAAATGGCTTTCATTGAGGATAATGACGATAAGGGTCAATTCCCTGCTGTTAGTGAAACAATCACTATATGACAAGTTACATAACAGACTAAATCTGCTATTAATGTAAAAGAAATCTCATAAAAACTTGTTGCATAACACTTGCTCTATTCCAGTAAATTCTTTGATGTTCAAGGAGAAAAAAATAATAATTTGAACCTGTGAGGAATGAAAACATCCAGTGAATGGCAGCACACTCGTGGCTAGATTCCAACACAATCCTTTCCTGCAATTCAGGTTCCCTTTTCTTCTTCTCTGTCCATCCGCTCTAATAGATGCACAGAAAATAAAAGGGCCACCGCTGTTGGCTGGCCAAAAGAGAAAAGCTTGGCTCCATTTCTTTCTTCATTGCCTTTCCATTGCAAATCCAACAGGCATTCTCACTCAGCTCTCCTTTCCCCAGACCACAGCTATGGTTTTGGATACAGCAACAAGTCTGTCCTTTCTCCTTTTGTGTTTGAAGATAATGCCCACTGTCTACAGGGAAGGGAACTTAAGGAAAGTTTAAACAAAATCACTAGCCAGAACGAAATTCATCCATTGAGGGGAGCAGATTTAATATTTAGGACAGAAATGAGAAAGCTGCACTACTGACAATTTTGTTTGGAGGTCAAAAGATAAACCATAAAATGAATTTCATTCAGCTGGAGTTAAGTTTGGATAGTTTAAAATTAGCTTGCCTCTTAAAAGTGGCTTTGTAACAGCAAAAATAACAAGGAACAACAACAACGACAAAAAACGGTTCAGTTTAAAACAGAGCAAAGACGCAGGCCACAGGGTCATTTAAGTATTCATCACAGCTCTTGGTCTAGAAGGTTTTGTCCTCTACCTAGTGTCAAAGTCTGTCATGTCATCTCAGCTACATTTGCAAGACTTGACAATCATGTTGGAGAGCTGCTCCACCTTAGGGGTCCGTCCAGAATAGTAGAGTATAGTGAGGGGCGCCAGGTCCTGAGGGACGCAGCAGGGGGCGGCGGAGGCCTCTGGATTCAGAGTGTTGTAAAGGCTCAGCAGCTGTTGAGAGGCAGTAAAACTCCTTTTTAACAACATTTTGAAAGTCTTCTGTTAAAATATTTTATACTTAAGTAATCTGGAAGAGACTTCTTCAAGAGAAACACTCCATTCTGTGTGAAAGCAATTCATGTAAATACCATAATAGCCTAAATATTTTCTTACTAATATCTATGTTATACTGGTAAACAATAGAAAATATATTTTTTTCCTACTTTAATAGTCAAAATTATCTATAAGAGAAACCCTTATTATTTTGTTATGTATCTCTGTTGAGCTAACTATTAGAATAACTGCTACAAAAATAGGTAAATATGCTTATATTCATTTGCTTTTTTTATTAGGAAGTTTGCACCACAGTGGCCTCAGAAGTAAAGAAATGACTGTTAGGGCAAGAGAAAACAACTATAAGGTAGAAAAAGCAGTGCATTGAGGAGGTTTTTTCTAGACCAATAGGATCAAGTAGGTTCAAGGACTGTCTATTTATGAGGAGTGAGCTAAACCTTAGCAGCAGGTGGAACTGTGTCCAATATCTGCAAATAAGTGAAACTTTCTGACAAAAAGACTTAAATTTCTGCAGAAAGCACAACATTAAGTAGACAAGTAGAAGACTGCTCTGTATTTCTAGAATGTTTCCTGAAATTCCTATAACTAACGCATGGGGTTGATTTCTCACAGAGACGAGTAGATTCCCTATCAGCTCTGCCCAAGAAGACTGCAATTATTAAGGTGAGATTGAAAGAAAAGGGTAAGAGCAAAACATATTTTCCAACAAGCCAATTCAAGCCAAGTGATAACATGCATTTATTTTTCATGCATAATAAGCCAGCCTGTCACAAGGCAGAAGCATTGCGCTTTACTTCCATTTTAGTATGTGAAATGCCAAAGTTCTATATGCTTATATATGTTCTATATGAAAGAAAGAAAGAAAGAAAGATGAAGAATGTCCACAAATCATGACTGAAATAATATTTTAGTGGAAAGATTGATGTTTAAAAAAAAATTGTAGGGGACCATCCAAGGACCAGCCAAGGGCCCATCAAAGAAAGCGGGGAAATTTTGAACGGCTACTACTGTAATGTGACCAAAATGATGTGCGCTTGAGATTTTTGAGAATAGCATTTTGTAAAACTGTGTTTATATTGCAAATGTAGTTAATTGCCAGGCCCTAAACTGAAAAAAGAAATTAGATCAAAATATTTTGGTGCTAACCTACGCAGATTAATTTTTTCAGTTTCAATTTTGTGAACTAAATCTAAAAAAGGTTCTTCATAAGTTAATGACTTTAAGGCCTGCATAGGGATTCTCACCGAGCTATGTGTTGTGTCCGAGCTCCTCAGGTAAGGGCAGGGCCCAGAGCAGTAGTTGGCATCGTAGCCACTCGGCTCATGGATCCACTTCCAGTCCAGATCACGGCGAAAATCTATGTGGAGCCTGCGAACGCAACAGCTCTCCTCCGTGTTTCTGTAGGGTAACAGAACAGAAGCCAAACAGTCACAGTGGGTTTGTGAAGCTTAAACTTGATTTATGTTCCTTCACAAAAGCTTACGAGAAGCAGTAGTTTGTGTCCAGCGCTCTCTTGTGTCGGCGTGAGGGGTGAGTATCCAGGCGGTGGGGTGGGATCATCATGAGGATAAGGTGAGGAAGGTATTGCTCCTTATTTTTCTTCAGGCTATCCAGATCAAGGCGAATCTGCTCCTCATCTCCATCAACACCTGAAACCACAGGAAGGAATCCAGCTGCTTTTTTAACTATTAACCACCATCTTCTTTCATAGTTCTCATCAATTACACAATTTAAAGTGTATAAGTCTCCTATTTTTTCACACACTTCTCTTACGTTGCATTAAAAAGCACTTAATAAATAACCAAATGGCTGAGGAAACCCACCTCTAAATTTAACCTCCAGAACTTCATTTTCATTGTCGATGTCACCGTTTGAACTGTAGGCCTGGCAGGGACAATGCACACTGATTTCCAAACCCAGATTAGATCCTAATAACAATCAAAGGAAAGGAAAGCATTACAATTACTCTCTGATAAGAACTAACCATTGACAGCTTTTTTAAAAACATTTTCAGATAAAGATAATCTCACCTCTGTTTATCAGCCATTCCCGCACAGTTTCAGTCACATCGAAGGTGATCCACTCAGGAGAGCCTTTGGTTTGCACATTTTTTGCTCCAATCAAGCGCTGCTTCCTTATGTGCTCGTTTAGTCTCATGGTCTGCAAAACAGTAATAAAATTTACGATTATTAGCAATATTTCTTAACGTGGATTGACGCTAACTAGTATTGGTTACTTTAGATATTCTATAGACATTCGTTTGCTACACTCAGAGCTGAGAGATAACTAAAGATAAAAATGGTAGCAGCCGCCTTTTACTGTGAGAATGCTCTTCTTCAGAATACTCAATGTACAGTAGCTGATTGCATTAAGCAATGCATATCTATGAACAAGAGTTTCCTGCTACTTCCTAAAAGGAATAATTGAAATAAACTTAAAAACTAATTCTTACAGATGTTGCCCATCCAATCTTTTTGATATTTAATATAGAATGATTTGTTAACATACAGTCTTTAGATATAGAAACCGATTACAGCCTGAACCCATACGATCTGCAATTAAAGATAATTACAATTCAAACAGGTCGACTGTCTATTCCCCCGGCTAATATATAATGCATGACACGTTGATGAGATTTTTATCAGTAAAGTTTGAAAGCAGTGTTCTATTCACTGCACAACCATGCACTACTTTATAGCTATATAATATGCTGCACCAAATCCAAAAAAAAAAAAAATTCTGAGAGAATAAAACAGATTGAGGTTTGTAATGTGACAATACAGTTTTAAGTTCAAGTATTTTACAAAATGCTGCAAAGCCCTGTTAAATTTGAGGTCTTTTGGACTTAGTCCAGCCTTGGTCATGGGACAAGGAGATTTATAGCCTTTCCAACTCTCTAGTGTATCAATTGAAAATACAGCAGAAGGTTGTTAATTTTGGCCTTTCCAATATGGAGCAGAACTTGGGGATGTTATTCCAGCTGAAGAGAAATATCTCAGAGCTCATGGGAAGCAATAGTTTTTATGAAATGAAAAATAAAAAAATTCAAATAAAAATAAATTGTGACGTTTAGAAAGACAAAGAAATGCTACCTTTACACACCTGGTAGAGCTCAAGCCGCTGTTCGTTCCTCTTGGCACTGGGGTTTGGTACCCTCAGGGCTCGAAACTCTGCCCTGAAGAGGTTGGATGAGTTCCTTTCCATTCGAGAGACATCGAAGCGGAAAAATTTAGAAGTCATGCTTTTAGAGCAGTAGGGCAGATCATCTGGTGAAAAAGGGAAAAAAAAATAAGGCTATTCAGAAGTAAAAAAAACAGCTGAAACAAGTATTCAAAGAAAACAGAAAGATTGTTCGCAATAACAACTTCCAACTAAACCACGACTGAATTCTAATGTTTCAAATACTAACCTTTGGATTATAGCAAAGATTTTTTTTACCCTGTGGATAAAAAAGTAACAAAAAAATTTCTAGACTTTAATATCCAAATTTCATATTTTCCGTGTCCAGAACCAAAGTCATATTGCTTAACAGCATTCAAAATGTTTATTGATTTCAGATTTTTAAATAGATTGAAATAATGTTGTTATTATTGTTTATTGTATCTGTCATACTCTGTGTTCTAGGTGCAGGTCTGTTTTTTCTCTCCATCCTTTGCAGGGCTGGACGGGCAGGTGCGTTCCATCAGAGCTAATTACCACCCTTCATAAGTAGCTGGAACCAGGTGGAGGGCGTCAGTTCATTTACGCTTCAGCGTGGTATAGACCAACTCCTTGTTTAACCCTATTATCCGTGCAACCTTGACCTAACCTCGTCCTTGTTGTTTCGTCCTAGAAAGCCATCCAGTCAAAGACCTGGAAACCCACGCCTTTGATCAGAGTCAGAAGAACTCCTGGAAAACCAGAGAAGAACCCCAGATCTTTCTGTCAGCCCTCCTGCCTGCGCTTGCCTGCCTGTCCACCCTCCAACAAACCAACACAGCGAGAGGATCTGGATCTGCACAAACAACCCAGACTTCTGAACAGCACTTCTTTCCCCAGACTAAGCCCAAGCCATCACCTCAGTGAGTCCACCATCCAAACATCATTTTCTCAAATCCCAAAGCTCAAGTTTTTCTCCATCCTCCCTATTTTTCCCAGCAGATCTCACAAGACCCCTGATCAGTTGAAATTCAATCTTGTTCATCTCCATTTATTCAATAAACTTTTCAAATATACTGACTGTTTCGGTTATGACGCCCATTCAGAGTCTCATGTTCAAAATAGGACAGTATCAGTTTGTGGATTTGGTCAAATTAGCATTGTTAATTATTTCAGCCTCTGCGACAGAAGTTAGGGTAGTAGAAAATGATAAAACATAGCTGTAGTATACAAAAGATATGTGGACAGTTTAAAGATAATAACATGTATGTGAAAGTAGTATTATAGTATTATACAAGCAGCAACATATGTTAATGAAATTTGAATGATTTTTAAAAGCATATCAAAATTTTTTTTGGGACATATAAACTGGGTGCTGTTTCAATGTTACTGTTTTGCAGGTCTGTGTTTGTCCTAAAACCATCTTCATGCTGCCCGAAGTGGTTAAAAAGTTGCTATTGCAGTTATATTTATGACCTAATATGGTTCCAAGAGAGCCTCCGTCAACTTGCAGTGTTAGCAGGTGAAAACTCTTCTATCTAAAAAAAGTTCTATACATGGCATAACTTCCGGTTTCCCTTTGCTCACTTTTGTTTCATACTTATACACGTTGTCTGCCACTAATGTGGGACCAAGTTGTAGAGGCAGCAGCCTCCACAGAGACTCCAAATCTCCCCAAACACCTCCTGTAGCTCTGCTGGGGGAGGCCAGAGGTGCTCCAAGGCCAGCCAAGAAAAGTAATCTTTCCAGCATGTCCTGGGTTGTCCCCTGTGCCTGGAAAACCTTCCTAGGTCAGGGGACATCCAGAAATGATTTCTGAGAAGCCTCAGTTAACTCCTCTCGCTGTATAAGAGAGGTGGCTCTATTTCAAGTTTCTCCTGGTCGACAGAACTCCACCAAAAATGGTCTGAGAAAGCTCACTTCAGCTGCTTGTGTCCAGTGTCTCATCTTTTGGTCATGGTCCAAATTTCATGACCATGGTTGAGGATATAAACGTAGACCAATCAGTGAATCAAGAGCTTTGCCTTTTCTCCCAGCTCTCTCTTCACTTTCACCAAAACAGCCAAAAGCAGCCATCCCCATCCATTTCCTTTCCTCATTCGTTAACAGGACCCCAAGATACTTAAAACTTCTCCACTTGAGGCAGGAACTATACTTTGATGTGTAGGTGACAAACCACTTTTTTCTGGTCATAAACCATTAACTCAGAGTTAGAAGAGTTGATTCTCATCCCAGCCACTTCGCACTTAGCTGCAAACTGGGAGCCAGCAAAATCAGGTAATTTGCAAAAAGCAGGTAAAAATGCGTCGGTCCCACAACCAGACCCCCTCCGGTTCTTGTCTGCACTTAGACATCCTGTAAACGAAGTGTATAAAAAGATCGGTGACAGAGGGAACACCTGTCAGAGTCCAACATGCACAATGGGTGAAAAAGGAAAAGGATAGGTGCCATGTTTCACAGCGGCCCTAAAAGGCCTTTGATACAACTATAATACTGAGAAAATAATATGATGCCAAGATATAAACTTACACATACACTACTCAAAAAATAAAAATAAAAATTAAAGGAACACTTTGTAATCAGAGTATAGCATCAAGTTAATTAAACTTCTGGGATATTGATTTGGTCAGGTGAGTAGCAGAGATGGTTGTTAATCAGTTTCAGCTGCATTGGTGTTAATGAAAATAACACTAGAAGGGCAACAACGAGATGACCATCAAAACAGGAATGGTTTTACATGTGGAGGCCACTTTTTTTCCCCTCCTAATTTTTTCTGACTCTTTTTCACCAGTTTTGCATTTGGCTAGCGTCACTGTCACTACTGTGAGCATGAGGTGCTACCAGGACCCTACAGAGGTTGCACAGGAAGTCCTACTCCTCCAGGATGGCACATCAGTACGTGCCATTGCCAGAAGGTTTGCTGTGTCTCCCACCACAATCTCAAGAGCATGGGGGAGATTCCACGAGACAGGCAGTTACTCCAGGAGAGCTGGAAAGGGCCGTAGAAGGTCTACAACCCATCAGCAGGACCGGTATCTGCTCCTTTGTGCAAGGAGGAGCAGGAGGAGCACTGCCAGAGCCCTACAAAATGACCTCCAGCAGGCCACTGCTATGAATGTCTCTGACCAAACAATCAGAAACAGACTTCACCAGATTGGCCTGAGGGTCCTCTAGTGGGCCCTGTGCTCACTGCCCAGCACCCTGGAGCTCAGTGATGGTCTGGAGGGACGCACAGACCTACACAGTCTAGACAACGGCACCATGACTGCAATTAGGTAACGGGATAAATCCTTGCCATTGTCAGACCCCATGCTGGTGCAGTGGGTCCTGGGTTCATTCTGGTGCCCGGCCTCATGTGGCGGGAGTATGCAGGCAGTTCCTGGAGGATGAAGGAATTGATACCATTGATTTGCCCCCACGCTCGCCTGACTTAAATCCAATAGAACACCTCTGGGACATTATGTGTTGATCCATCCGACGCCGCCAGGTTGCACCTCAGACTGTCCAGGAGCTCAGTGATGCCCTGGTCCAGATCTGGGAAGAGATACCCCAGGACGCCATCCGTTGTCTCTTTAGGAGTGTGCCCCGACGTTGTCAGGCATGCATACACTCACGTTTGGGCCATAGAAAAGACTAAATACCATTTTGAGTTGCTGCAATGAAATTTCAGCAAAATGGACTAGCCTGCCGCATCATTTGTTCACTGTAATTTTTGGGATGTCTTAGAATTCAGCCCTCTGTAGGTTGATAATTTTCATTTCCATCAAATGATGTGGCATCCTTTTGTTCCTAACACATCACCCAGTCCATATCAGTGTAAATAAACAGCATGATCTTTTTTCCCCCCATTGAGATTGGATGTGTTTTCAAAGTGTTCCTTTATTTACAGGAAGTAACAATACATTGGTAGAAAATGTATTAACTGAGAAAATTTAGTTAATTAATCAATGCGGGGTAATGTTTAGCACTCCTCCGCTAAATAATGATGACTCTTCCAAACAGGCACATCAAGATCAGAAATTACAGTAAATCATAAATGGAAATTGACCTTTTTTTCAGATTTTTTTGCTAAGATTTTATGTTTCAGGACAGATTATAATAGTATTTAATTTAATGAAAGATGTTTGTATGTATTTTGGTTTTGTATTGTCAGTATTGTCAATTTATTTTCAGGTATTTGAAGAACAGATGATTTTCACTGCCTTCCCTACAAAGTAAATGTCATGTTTTTCTTTTCACCAACTATGTGAATGAATCACTTTATGGAAACTGGTATTAAAATACTTTGTAGCCATTTCATACCTTAATCCCAAATTGCTCCTACATTGTCCTGTAGACAAACTTGGCACAAACCAATTAACAAGTTATTAAGAAGTTATTTTCTAATGTGTAAGTCTTTTTTTTTTAGAGCGTTTTAATGTATCAAACACTGTATTTGTTGTAAAAAAAAAATGAAATTAAACTACTACAATAAAAGCGGTATCTATTTGGAGCCTCTTTCAACATATTTATCAAATTTAATTAGTACTGCACAGGGTTCTTATATGAATACACTTAGGCCCAATGCTCTGCACCTTGCAGTATACAGGAAAGACTGGCGCTTTCCGTCCCACAGTAAAGGGTTGGGTGCCTCTCTCTTATCATAATTCCTCACTGGTTCTCCTACAGACTCTGTCTATATTTGGAGAAAACAATAACATTTTAACTATTTTATGACTTCACCCCAAAGGTATCTGTGTATCAAATGCCATGCTATGCTCATTCTACTGATAAGCTTTTGGAGCTGAAGCTTTTGTTATCATTATGACTTCCTTAAAGTAAGTGACAGATGCCAGATCTGTCATGAACATAAACCCCAAACATTGAACTCTGTTCTGTGGTTTGCTGACCAGCTTGTTTGCAGCTTTCCTTTATTTAGGGTTTAACTGTTTTAGATCCATTCACACATCACTATAGGGCTGACTAATATGTAATATTGAAGCTAAAGAATGGATTTTGAACTAAACTAATTTTTTATTTGTTTTAATACTGTAGGTCTTAGAGGCTGTTTTAACTTTTCTAGAGTATATTGACTTCTTGAAAATATTTTGATTAATGGTTTTCAATCAATCAAATTATTTCATTGAGGTTATTTAACTTACAAAATTACACAGAGACTAGGAGAGATAGATTTGGAGGGTTGATGATGTAATTAGCTGGACATCTGAAGAATACATTGGGGTTAAAGATCTACTAATACCTTTTTTTTATTTAATACTGTATTTACAAAAATACAAATTATTTTAACATCAGATGCTGGTTTTTAAAGATAATATTCTCACTTAAACCATTTACGTGATAAAAATGAAATAGTGGTAGAAAAAAAAAAGTTAAAAAAGTTACAAAAGTCCAAATTTAACCCCCCGCAAAAAAACAAAAAAAAACAAAAAAACATTAACATTTAGCAGTAAATATCAAATGGAGAAAGGAGCAGCAATGCAACATGTTCTGCTGTGCTTCAAGTTTTAAGTCATGGCTGCTAAATTCCAACGCTTAAAAAAACTGACCTCTTTTTAAAGGCAATCTAGAAGATACACATACAGAAAATGTGTTCTTACAGAATATAAAAGTGTTACGATTTCTCTTGATATACTGCCATTTAAAATAACAACAGCTAATTTTTTCCATTACTTTTTGTTCAAAATACTTATCTCACAAACTTTTTAAAAAAGTTTTAATGTTAATTTATACACATTTCCTGGTTTATTAGTTTTGATAGATTAAAAGCACAGGATCGTTTTGGATCTGGTGGGTTAATTGTTCCTAATCAGAGTTCTTCCACTACTAAGATTGTTACACTTTGATTTAGCATTTGTGTTCAGTTCTTTATAAAATGTAGACCCAACATATATAAAAATAACACACATTACCCAAAATAGCAACATGAAGTTATGGTGCTTGTCCAATTATTATATCTGATAATTATAAATAATTAACTTTTAGAGTAGGCATCAACATTTTTAGGATCAAATGTTGAACGTTGCAATATTATATATAAACACATCAGCAAAAAACATAATTAACTCTAGTAACCACACTGACTGAATATACACATTAAAAATTTGAAACAAAATATACATATTTTTACATACCAAAACACACTTGATCCCATAAAAACATTGAAAATTACCATACAGTAAGTGATATGAAGTCGTTGGACAAATTCAATCTGAAAGGCTCTCATCTACAACCCTCTCTTCTCATCATGGGCCTCTGCTCCAGCCTATCACCACAACTCCATGCCTTCATACAAGCCAATCTCTGTCTGGGACATCATCACTTCCTACTGAACAGCATCCCTCCATACATCTCCCTACAGCCTCCATCCCACCACCATTGTCAGACTCTGGGGGCAGCTATCACTAACCTAGACCTACCTGGTTATGCTGAACTGCATTCAGCATTGATGTCAAGACCTGAGCCTTAATGAATCATCTAACTGCTGCTTTTTCTCTGTTTGAGTCTCTCCAGTTTGAAATGGCAGTAGTACTAATAATATAAGCAACATCGCTGAATAACATTGTAAATTCAACCTTCTCTTCATCTATTTGATTTTCAGTTGTTCACATGTGATTATACTAAAATAAACTAGAGATCTAGTTAATCAGTTTGTCATTATTTCACCCAAAGCTAATCTAGGGTTCTGTGAGCAAGAGAAAACTCTTTGGTGTTTTTTGGTCCAAATCACTTTTGCAAGATTTGAACCAGAACATTAGAGAGGGAAAGTTACACTTCAGGAAAACCTCTTAATTTCAAAGGCACTGTGATGCAATAAGCTTGGCTTTGCTCTGGACCGTGAGCCTTCCTTAGCATTTATTATCCTGTTCTACTACCAATCTGACCACAGACACGTGTCCCTCTCTCCACCAGTTTTCCATTCTCATCGCCTGTATTTCATAAAGAAAAAAAAACATGGTAACCATATAAGCTTGGCATGAAATACGTGGAGGAGGAGGAATTAAAGCTCAAACAGTCTTTTCTGATTATTTAAACAAATTGATTCCACCCAAAGTAAAGCTCATTATAAACAAAATTACTTAGTGTTGTACTGGCAATAAATTAGAGGCATAATTAAGACATTCACATTAAAGGCTCTTTAAGCATAACTTAACAGTTAGGTGAGCTTGGCCTTGACGGCCAGCTGTGGGTGTGCAATTATCAAGCCAAGACACACAGTGTGCTCATTAGGAGCAGCATCTTCATACCAGTGTGACTGGAAATATATGAGGCCTTCTCTGAGAGCAGGATCCCTCTTATAATGAGGAGGGGGTCCCCTCTATCCTCTAACCCTTCCTGTCCACTTCTGTTAACTCTCCCCTAAAGACATCCCCATCCGCCAAGGCAAATGTCCCTCTTATTTGGGCCTGACTGGAAAGGAAATGGGAACATCTGGGAGGTAGAACATGATCCATCAAGGGGGGAAACACAAGAGGGAGAAGGGTGGTGCAGAAATATAGGAAGGGGATGACCTTCCTGTTTCAGAGTTAAAACAGGTGGAAAAGCACTGAAAAGTACATTTCCTTCCATAGGCAAACTTGTCTTTCTGTTTTTAAAGATACTACCCAGTGATATATTTTTCTCACCCACTAAAAAAATGTGTGCTGACAATAAAAACATGTATAGGTGCAGAAGTGTGGATATCCACAGCAGGAACTCACAAAATGTAATGTATTTTTAAAACTAAAAAAACAGCTACAGTTTCCACTGTGTGTGTTTGGTAATAACATTGGCAAGATGGCAAACCTGATCAGCTGGAGTCAATTAATATTGTGGCATATAAGAAACCTTTGAACTATTTTTATTTTGAAAAAAATACATATATTGTTTAGTTAAGTCATTTAATGGCTGCTCAGTGGGGCAGTGGGTAGTACTGCTGCCTTGCAGCAAGAAGGTTCTTGGTTTGATTCCCGGCCCAGGGTCTTTCTGCTTGGAGTTTGCATGTCCCCCCTGTACATGTGTGGGTACTCTCAGGGTACTCCGACTTCCTCCCACAGTCCAAAAACATGACTGTCAGGTTAACTGGCTTCTCTAAATTCTCCTTAGGTGTGTGTGTGTGTGTGTGTGTGTGTGTGTGTGTGTGTGTGTGTGTGTGTGAATGGTTGCTCATCCTATTTGTCTCTGTGTTCCCCTGTGATGGACTGGCGACCTGTCCAGAGTGTACCCCGCCTCTCGCCCATAGACAGCTGGAGATAGACACCAGCATCCCTTGTGACCTTGCTTGGGATAACCGTGACGGAAAATGGATGGATTGATGGAGTAAATTAATATAAATATCAATATAAAGCAATAGATATATTACATTTGTATTCTTAAAAGAAGGCTGATAAGTCACACAGTGCTTCATGTATTTCCACACAAGAGGAATGAGGTGTAGCCTGTTTATGTTCAATACTTAAAAATGAAAAATAAAAGATTCATTGTGTTTTTGTGCTCATATCAAATCTCTAAGAACTAGACTTAAAACAACATTATGGGGTAGGTCTGACAGAAACAATTAAAATAGTTTTAAAACATGTATCATTTTATATGTTATTCAAACCAGTTTGCATTTTGGAAGGAATTTAAAAACTAGATTAACTTTCCCTCTATAACTCACCTGAGAGATTTTATTTTATTGCTCTTCTTTTTTTAAATTGCACTTTCATTTACAGAGTTTAAACTGATGATATCTAAAAGAAACATTAAAATTAAGTTTATTATACATGGCGTTTAGGTGGACACCGACTCTCAGTTCATAGATCAGTATTTGAAATGAATCGTTACCCATGAAGCCATGAAGCTTCCAAACGGTTGGTGATTCTAGAATATCGCCTGCACAGTTATCATTAACAATATCAACTCAGTCATTATTGCAATGACACTTGTAATGTTCATGTAAAAAAACAGTTTGGGGCAAATATTTGTTGGCTAATATATAATAAGTGTCAGTAAATTGCATCTTACATGCTTATGTATTATTTAATGGGTTACACTGAGTTTAAGAACGAAAGAAGCTCACTTCAGATACAAATGGAATTGCCTAAACTGCTAAAGGTCCCAGAATGTCGGAAATCTTTATATGATGCCTCTGTAAATGCAATGTTACAAAATCCAGCAATTTTTTATTTATTTTTTCTATTAATACAATACAAAAACTTGACCTTTCATCATGTAGATTTATTACGAACTGATTAATATTAAGCCTTTATCACCATTTGGATGAAAATATAAGTTTAATGAAAACCCACACATATTTTCTCTGACAATAAAACCACATAAAAACACTTAAAAATGTATTTACATCCTCTATTTCTAATATAAAAATGGTTGTCCTGTTTTCATGGATAACTGCATCCTTACATTAAAGCATGGAGGTGACCAGTCTGTGCAGTGGGGTGTTCAGGAACTCTAGATTGCTTTGATTGTGGTCTTTAGCTTATCTTTTGTGGTGTCTGTCCTGTTTCTCTTGTCAATACTCTGAGAAGTTGGGTCCATTTTTCTGGCTAATCAGTCCAGGTGATAAAATACTCATTAAACCAGGATGGTCCTGGAGCAGTGTGGGCAGATGACATGACCTTCTTGAAGTTTGTCAGCAGAATGAAAGCATGCTTGCTTTAAGAAATCAGCAGATGTCTTTGACTTCACTGACTGTGGAGATGCACTGACACCCATTCAACTTGGTTTTTTTGTATTTCTTCAAACTCTGGGATCTTGATTTTCAAATGAAAAGCTAGCTGTATTTGTATCTGAAAAAAATGACTTTACCACTTAAAAAAAGTTCCAGCTAATTTTCTCATTTTTCCCCCAATAAGGCACTACAGATGCTATATCTGAATCAGGAGGGGTTTAACAAAACTAATGCAGGAAATTTACTGTAGTTCAAGTTCCTCTTTAGGAACCACAATACGGGGTTTTCGATACCTTTCATCTTTTTCACTCACCCTGTAATCAATTTCTAAAAGTAGTATACTTTAATTAAAATCTATTAAGAATACTTAAGTATAAGTTTAGAAAGTATACCGAACAATGTACTTTTAGTGTACTTGAAGTATTACTAAAGTAATACTTCTTTGAACTAAATTGGGACATTTTTAAGTTTACTAAAGTATACTTAAAGTATACTTTAGTAAACAATAAAGTACACTTGACTATACTATTGTTTAGTATATGAAATATAGTTTAGAATAAGTAAACTCTCAGTGCACTGCCTGATTTTAAGTATGAAATTAGTGCACTTTTAGTATACTTGAATAAACTACTTTTTGCAAAAGCATAGGTCTACTTTTATATGATAGATTATTAGACTTTTATTAGACTTAAAATACAATCGACACATGTTTATTGAGAGATTTTAAACAAGTACCAGTAAAAAGTTAGTAGATTTTTTTTTATCATTATGCGTCTGGAACGGCCTTTATTCGGTGCGTAATTACGCACTACAGAGAGGAGGGAAATATGTATGAAAAGGGGAAAACTTACTGTTGTCTGGCGTTCCATACACCATGTTAATTTTGTATATCTCTTTGGCGATGTACTCTGTCTCTGTGTTGTCCTGGCCGCAGGTCTGCTTCCGTTCCCTGCCCAGCTGCTCCAGAAGCTCCTTCGTGCTGTTATATAACGCCTGGATCTGATAGGGTATGTTGGTCGGTCCCAGGGAGTGCGGCGGACTCGTCAGACGAAGTTTACTCAGGATCTGACCCCGTATCGCTTCGACCCTCTTCCTCTTCACATGGTCGATGTCCACGGTGGCGCAAGTGGACAGCGGAGAGCTCAGAGTGGCGCAGTTAAGGAGGAGGACGAACAGTAGAGCTTTACCCAGATGCATCTTTCTGTCCGCATTTGTTTCTCCCTGGGAGCTGAAAAGAGAGGATTGACAGAGAAGACTGCCTCTAACTCAGCTCTACTGCTGCTTGTTTTCTTTCCCAACTAACAACTAAGTTCTATATTGATTCCTCTTTGTAGAAATTCGAATTTGTGTTCGCCCATTATTAATTCATCCGGTTCAAATATCTGTAAAGACCTGCTTTCTGTGATCTTCTGCTCAGTCCATTACTTTGCAGTCCTCCTATACAACACAGACTGTGTTGTTCCCACTTTTGCGTCGTTTAGTTTCAGAGCATCAGGTCTTATTTTCATTGCAGGCTGACACGTTAACGAGGTATATGCGCCTTAGAGCTGCTGATATGGCTTCATATGAGCTTTATAGGCTGCCGCTGCTTTCTGACGTTTGATAGAGGAGGGACCGCTGGCACCCGGCAGCGCACACAAATCCCTACAGGGGCCCATTGACATATTCATCGAGTCTGAAAAACTAAATGATTTAAAGGGAAAGGAAGATGAGTAACGATGGAACACAACAGTAGCTTTGTTCTCTAGGCGTTAGAAGTATATCTTTTAAAGCTTTGCGTCGCATGGCGCAGACTGGAACCCAGATCCAGTCATTGGGATCACTAAGGTGCGCTTTGAACATTATGATGCTTTATTCAGAGCTTTGTTTCATTGGCTCTTCTAATTCATAAGGGGTTATTTTCATCTCTCTGGTACTGCGCCCTCTAGTGAAGGAGAGAACTGCTACCCAAATCTGAAAACTTTCTTAAACTTTTAATTTGACACAAAAATGTTTAATCATCATTCTTATTTCTTAAATTATTGTTTTCTCAATTTCTTCTTTAATACACATTTTGTGCAATTTTTTTGTGCTATTTTTTGCTTTTGGCAATGAAAAGCCAAGTTAATTATTCAACCAGAAATCATAGCAGCATACATCATTCTACAACATAAACCACCTAAGTGGTTGCATGCACGATGTAACAACAAATTGAACCCAGTCCTAACAAGATGTAGCCTACATGATAAAGTTTGTGGCAGGTATATATTTTCTATTTTAAAGAGAGTATATAGACCCCCTCTCTTTGTTGCAGCCACTTGTTAACATAATAAACACTTTTATTTCTCATTAATGTACATTAAAAGCACCCAATCTTTAGAGAACCCCCACAGAAAAATCGAAAAGTCAGTTGATTTAAAAAAAAAAAGCTAAAATATCACATAGTCAATAAGTATTTAGACCCTTTGCTTTGACACTCATGTTTAACTCACATGCTCCCCATTACTTTTGATCCTCCTGTAAATATTTCCGCTCCCTCAGTGAGATCCAGTTGTGTTTAATGAAACATTCTGGACTTTATCTGGAAAGGTACTTACCTGTCTATATAAGGCCTTACAGCTTACAGTGCATGTCAGAACAAACGAGAATCATGAGGTGAAGGAGCTGCCCAAAGAGCTCAGAGACAGAGTTGAGACAGAGGCACAGATCTGGTTCAGGTTACAAAACAAGTTCTGCAGCACTTGAGATCCCTCAGATCACTATGGTCTCTAAAAAAGAAATTTGGAATGACCAGAGCTTTTACTAAACCTGACAGTTTAGCTAAACTGGGCAATTGTGGGAGAGGAGCCTTGATGAGAGATATAGAACCCAATGATTGCGGTGGTTGAGCTCCCAATATGCAGTAAGAAGATTGCAGAAACTTCCACAGAGTTAACTATCACTTAAATAACAAATGAGTAGCTTCAGAACGACTATGACCATTTTGACTGGCCAAGACACAGCTCAGACCTAAACCCAATTAAACATCTTTGGAGGGACCTGACAATGGCTTTTAACCAACATTCACCATCAACCTTACAGAAATGGAGAGGTTCTGCAAGGAATAATTGCAGAGGAAAAAACAAAACAAAAACAAAAGTAGAAAAAGAAGATCCATGTCTGTACTAGCTCAAGGGAGCGTCTACTGGATACTTAGCAAGGGTCTGAATACGTATGACCATGGTCATATTGTCATTTTTTGTTATTTTATTATAATTTTGCAGAATTTTCTAAATTTTTGTTGTATTATTCAGAGAAAGAAAACTGCAAAATACATTCTAGAATGTAAATGCAGCCTGTCTCCTCTGATACACAACTAGTGAGTAGTAGTTTTAGATAATATTTAACAAAGAAGGTTTTTGACCCAAGTTAGAAATTTATGAAATATGCATGATAAATCTGCTTTATCTTTAGTTCTACCATGGTTAAATGCAGTTCTAACAATGCAGACATTCTACAAACACCTTTGTTTTTTTGTCAATAGAATCAATGGTTCCTCCTTGGTAGCAAAGATTTTTCCCATGCCCTCTACAGTTGTCCTCCACACAACTGTCATCTTTTTTCTGTCCCAATGTCTGAAGCTTTGTTTGTTGCTCTTTGAGTTATTCTATCCTTTTCCTCCTTCATCAGCTTTATCTCAATTCTTGTGGCATATCCACATTTTTCAAACCTATTTTAGGTCAGACTGGTTTAGCCTCTGCAGGCCCTGTACCCAAACATGGGTTCTAATATGTTAGTATGTTTATTTTGCATGGCAGTTTGCATTCCAGGAATGATTTCATATTATGTCGAAACTTTGTATGGAAAATATTTGGTTTTAAGTTATATGATACATATGTATGCAAGGCGTTCTGCCTTATAGGGTTGTTTCTCCAAAGTTAGATCTCTGTTTGCAAATGATTTAGAACAAAGGTATAATTTTGCAATACGGGGTTGATATTTCACACTTACCTAAATTCAGTGCATTGCAAAGATATTCAAATCCCCCTTTTCAGATTAAAACCTTAAACTTTAATGTGTACCAGGGTAATTTAAGTATTCAACCAGATCATGCAGTCAGATTGGTTCAAGTTTTCTATCTAAGTAAACCAAGTTGATTGCATCAACTCATTGACTCGACAGCTATCCCTCACACTAAGCATGCAGGGTAGAGGAAAAACTCCCTTTTAACAGCAAGTAGCCTTCAGCAGAACCAGGCTCAATGTGAGCGGTCATCTGCTAAGGCTAATTGGAGTTCAAGGAGACAGAAGCAGACATACAGAAATAAACAGAGATACAAAAGGTAACTGTCAACCAGCTCCACAGGCGGCCCTGTCCAGGAAACACAAAGTCAGGCAGACGGGCTCCGAGCCAGCTCCCATCAGAGGATGAAGAGAGCACAACCAGTTAGTCACAGCCAGAGAAACAGGACTACACTGAAAAACAGGTCTAGCTTGAACATCTATATACAAAGCTGATGATGGTAGCCGCACAGCTGCTATTTTTCTTTGGGATGGAGTCACAGCCAAACACTAACAGACCAGATGGAGGAATAGACTAGAGGTAGAGATACAGTGGGGGTTTCCCTTTTTACAAAAAATTAAAAAAATCTAAAATGTGCATTTGTATTCAACCCCTTGACTGGATAAATCTCAGGCCCACCAGTTGTCCTAAAACACCTGTGGTAAGAGAAGAAGCTTTTCTGGCTTCTCTTTGCCTCTCAGATTAAATCCGTAAGCAGAAACATGTGGCCTCACCATTTTCAATGTGAACAAGTTTGGTAGGGCTCTGTCAAGCCAACAACCTGTGTCTGTTTTTTGTTTTCTCAGAAATCTCTAAAATGTTTTCTCCATCTAGGCAAAATTTGTATTATTTTTCGAGTCATAGTAAAAAAACTAAATTTGGAGAAGAAGTTTATGTAGCAACTGTAAGTATTGCATAACACAAATTTCCTGGCAGTTGAGCAGGTAAACATGGCAGTTTTTAGTTATCGTAATTAATGCATTTGTCTGAGTTTTCCTTTAACAGATTTCTGGTTTCACCATTACAAGTTCTGGCTATAATCTATTAATTGACAACTTGATCTTTTAATCGTCACATATGTGATCAAAAGCCCAAATGTTTATGCTGGTGAAGATTCTCAGTCATTCAGGTCATAATCATTCCAAAAAAAGTTAAAAAAACACAATCCACTGGACTTTGTTTCCAAGTTTGAAGACATTTCGCTTACATCCAGGAAGCTTTTTAAATTAAACGTGTCAGAAATAGTGTTGAGTTTGAGGTTTTATAGACTGGACCAACAACAAAGCCTTGTTTTGCCTTAAAAAAACATGCAAATTGCAAATGCAAAGTGTAGCAAATATTACACTCCGCTCATAGTTGGTTTAGGGGTTTTGTCTTTAGTTTAAGGGTCTTGTTAGGTTTTAAATGTACTGGGATTTTGTGTTTGGAGAAAATTCTCTTGAGTTTTTCTGAGACTCCAGCTACTGTACATATGGGATGGGGATGTTTTTCTGTTGAATCTTCTCCCCGTTATGTTCTGCTGCGTGTCTTTTGGACTTCCTTGCTGATTTGACAAACGCCCAGTTTGCCAGAAACTTTCCAATAGTCCCCAAGCAGGGAGTTAATTGTGAATAATTTAAAAAAATATTGACAGAGAAATAACGGCAAAGAGACTAGGGTGGTAGAGAAAAGGAGAGACAAAAGAGGAAAGCTAACACTAACAGTAGATAAGTGCTTAGGATCAATAAGGCAGATGGAGAACAATGAAAATCACATAAAGATCGGTGTTTAATACATTGAAGGTAAAATTGTTTGGAAATATAGGCAAAATATATTTTTAAAAAAGTTTTATAAAGTTAAATCATGAGAAGCGGTAGGCTAATGAGCAGGTAGAAGGTGGTAAAAATGTAAGGACAGAGAACAACATAAGTGATGCTTGCTGTCAGTGTGATAAGAGGTTAAGATGGTAGATGGAGTATGTCTGACTATAGAATGCATACAGATGTAGTTTCGTTCCGGATCTATATTAATAAGTTAGTAAAGGAGGTCAACTGAGGCCTGATCTGACAGAGGTGAGGTAAGAAACAGAGACAGATAAAGGAAAATGTTCTGTTAATGTGAAACCCTGCAAATAAATAGCTAAAGGTTTTTGTTACCTTACACCACAACATCAAAGGGTCTTAGGGTTTTTCTTTTTT